CTTTATGACATTCTGGAAAAGGCAGAACTATGGAAATGGTAGAAATTTCAGTGGTTGCCGGGGGTACAGGAGCAGGAGGGATGAACAGGTGGTGCATAGGGAATTTTAGGGCAGTGGAACTACTCTGTGTGATATGTGAGGTGCTGGGTATGACATTTTGCGTCAAAAAGTCATCCAGCACTATAAAGCCAAAAGTGAACCCTAGTGTGTAAATTCTAGACTTTAGTTAATAATAACGAATCACTATTAGCTCATCACTTGTAAACAAATGGGCTACACTGATGGAAGATGCCAATAAGGGACATGTAGGGGGAGCAGTAAGGGGCCATGTGGGGACTCTCTGTACTTTCTGATTAATTTTTCTGTAAGCTAAAAGCTACTTGAGTGTATATGTATATTTGTATATTTACTGCCCTCAAGGAGCTCATAATCTCTTCGATCAGCTCTCAAAATGAGTTGTGTCTGAGGGCTTCAGGTGTCACTGATATGAAGTAATGAACCCTGTTAGGGAAATCAGGAAGCCTTCAAAGAAGTGAAGTTTATGTGAGCCTTGAAGAGGACACTGGAGTTCACTGGGCAAACATAGGTTTGCTGTGTGTTAGTAACCATTTTTTATCATATACTCTCTGTGGGTCAGAGATACCCTCTGAACTCTTTACAGAGACCATCCCCCTGAATCCCCACCACAACAGGGCAGGTATTGTTATTTCTCTATTACTGAGGAAGAAATTAAGATTTGACAGAGGTTATCCAAGGCCACAGCTACTGAAAGGTGAAAGACTCTATGCCAGACCTGCCAGCCTTAGAAGGCAGTACTCTGTCACCAAGGGTAGAGATCACATTATGTAGAGCATTAAGGGCATACTTTGTCATCATAACGGGATCAGAGTGAGACAACAAAAACTGGTAGATGGGGGCATCAATTATGGCAGTTTAATAAAGGGGACAGAACTTTAGGAGTTGCTTGATCAAGGCAAAGAGAAAGACAGTGCTTATGGAGAACCGCTCCAGAAAAGTCTCTTCTTCGGTCTGGTCAGTGCCTTCTCTTGAATCCTAGCTCTACAGTTTAAAGGCGCTGAGCAGTCTGAAAGGGCTTTCTGAACCACTTGGGAGTTTGGCTAATGCAGAGACAGGTATTTGCCCTTCATCCCAATGCCTTTGTGTAAAGTCTGGTGGGCAGGTGAGAAAGCTGGGGACACTTTTACTGCTCATTCTCTCTTCCTTTTGGCTGCCCTGCCCATCATATTCCTTCCTGATCCTGTCAGGAAAGCATACTTGTCACTGAGCACACTAGCTGTGTTACCTTAGGTAGTGCAGTCAGCTTCTCCGAACTTTATTTTCCCATCTACAAAAGGAGAATAATAGTGCCTTGGAACTGCTTTAAGGCTTTAAGGAGATATAATGAATGCAAAGGACATAGCATATTAAGTGCTCAATAAATATTAACAGAAAGACACATTACAATTTTGGAGATGCTGTTTTGTGAAAAAAAGTTGCACCTTGACTTGGTGAGAGATGGTAGTTTCTCTCTTTGGACACCATTCTGCAGAAAGCACCAGGGGTGTTACAATGCATCTCTGGTGAAAGCTTTAGGTTGATGCTGCTGGAGTTTAAGCTGCTAGTCAGAGTTGGGCACCAGCAGATCACCCAGAGGACACAAGTTCAAAGAAACCTTTGGAGGTTCCCATTTGTTGGAAAGGACAGAATGCAGATGTAAGCTTTGCTTGTAAGGCTGTGAGCGATGGCTGGGCCTGTGGGCAGACACAGGCCTCTATAGATAGAGGTTAAGGCTTTTTCTTTACTCAGCAGACATAACTTCCCTGTGGAATGATGGAAGCTGAAGGAATCTGAGATCACTGGTTCAAATCTCTTGTTCAACAGATTAGAAAACTAAGACCCATAGAAGTTTGCTGATTTATCAACTTGATACACATAGCTAGGGACAGTACTGAGCTTGGAGCACCAGTCTCTCCATGTTGCATTACTGATTTTCCTCCAGAACCATCTTGCTCGCCTCCAACAAGTTATTGTATTTTGCAATGTATAATGCACACTCTTGATTTTTGGGCCAAACTTACAAGAAAAAATCTTTCGTTTTAATTTTAATTCAATTTTTAATTTATATTAGGCAATTGGTTTTTATATTATAAAGAATTTTAGCATTTATTTTTAATATATTATAGTACAAGAAATTTTATGTGACAAATAATTATAAAACACAAGAACTTATACAAAGTACAAGAAATTTTAAAAAGAATTAAAAATATTTATATACATATGGAATTAGTAGTTCCCATGTATAATGTGCATCCTTATTTTCCCTCAAAAATTTGGGGAAAAGTGTGCATTAAGTATGGCAAAATACATAATAATCTAAAACTAGAAATGCCTTTTTCTCTTAGGAGCTCAAGATTCCCACTAAAACTCAAAAAATATATTTTTAAAGAGAGGAACTAATAAGTATTAAGCATCTGTAGATGCTAAGATGATACTGGGAATTTTATATGAGCTAAGGTTTTGTACCTTCCAAGCAATCCAGAGAGAGAAGTACAATTGCTTCCTTCTTCATTTAAGAGGAAGCCAAAGCTCAGAAAGGTAGAGGATTGCCCAGAGTCACAGGGCAGCAGATGGCTCTAGGCTGAATTTTTACAGCTCAACAGAAATCCATTTATTCACTGGCCAGGCCAATTTCCCCCAAGAACTTTTTCTCAATGGTGTTTTCTTCACTAGAAAAAGTGTTGCTTGTAAATAGTAATAATGGTTTCCAAGCAGGTAGAAATGATCCTTTGAGACAGATTTTTTTAAAAGAAAAATTAAGATTTTCTGTTTAGATCTGTGCTAATTCTAAACAGAAAACTAAAAGAAAAACTTGCAGCCCTGGCTGGCGTAGATCAGTGGATTGAGCGCGGGCTGCGAACCCAAGTGTCGCAGGTTCGATTCCTAGTCAGGGTACATGCCTGGGTTGCAGGCCATAACCCCCAGCAACCGCACATTGATGTTTCCCTCTCTCTCTCTAGCTCCCTCCCTTCCCTCTCTAAAAATAAATAAATAAAATCTTTAAAAAATTTTTTTAAAAGAAAGAAAAACTTGCAATTTATCCTTTAATTTTTATTTTATTTATTTTTTGTGAGAGAGAGAGAGGAAGGAAGAGAGAAAGAGAAGTTACCTCTCATATGCACCCCAGTCCCTCTACCCCTGAGCCCCCAAGTCTCTAAGTCCCCTATCCCTCTAGTCAGGACAACCTAGGCATGTGACCTGACTGGGAATCGAACCACTGACCTTTCACTTTGGAAGAGGACACCCAACCAACTGAGCCACTCACATCAGGGGGATGTTCTTTTTTTAAAAAACAATCTTAACATAGATTTTATTTTTAACATTTATGAGAGCTTTATGTAGATTTTGTTAGTTATGTCAAGTAGAAATAAAATGAAAAATTCAATATTAGCTGCTCATGATATGTTTCTAAAATTTTTCATAGTTTATTTTTATATTTTTCTGCTTTAGAAATAAATGCTCATTGTCAAAAATTTGTTGAACTTCAATAACTATTTAAACAACAAAATAAAAATTTTCATATTTCCACCACCCAGAGATTAGCATTAATATTTTGGTATGCACTTTAATTTTTTTAATCCTCAGTGAAGGATATGTGTATTGATTTTGGAGAGAGACAAAGAGGGGAGGGAGGGAGTGAGGGGGAGAGGGAGAGAGAAACATTGATGGGTTGCCTCTCATACACACCTGTACTGGGATCTAACCTGCAACCTAGGTATGTGCCCTGACTGGGAGTCCAACCTGAAACCTTTCTGATGCTCCAACCAACTGAGCCACCCCATTAGGGCAGTGTGTGCTTTAATTTATAGGCTGTTTTTTAGAGCAATTTTAAGGTTACAGAAAAACTGAGTGGGAAGTACAAAGTTCCCATATACTCTCTCACTCCCTGTCCCCCAGTTTCTTCTATTACTGACATCTTCCACAGTACAGTACACTTGTTACAAATGATGAACCAAAATTGATACATTGTAATGAACGAGTTTACTAGGGTTCACTCTTTGTGTTGTATATTCTGTGGGTTTTAACTAATGTATCCACCGTTTCGAGTATCATACAGAAGTTTTTTCACTATTTAAAAAAGCAAAAATAAAATGAATTCTGATTTTTCATTGGGTAATTAATAATTTAAATGTTCTTTACTTTAAAAATGGTTATTACTCTTCCTTGATAATAAAAGTATTACATATGTATAATAATTGTGCTGACATAACCACTTAAATGAGTCATCTAAAAAATGAACACTTTTTAAAAGAATGTGTTTCTTTTATGAATTACATGAGCTTCATATCGGGAAACAATGACGGAACTTTTGGGCCCCAGATCCTAGCGCAGAAGGCTTCGCTTTGCCTCTGGTTTTCATGTTAATTAATGATTAGGCTTTGAGCCAAACAGCAAAGGCCATAGTTTTTTGAGTGACTTCACTGATGCAGTCCCCAGAAGCCTTGCCCTAGGCCCTAGGGAAACCCGTAGGTTAAAAAATCCTCCCCTCGCGTTTCCTTTGCTCAGAAAACTGCAACCACAGTGCCTTAGGCCAGAGTGAACTTCGCGCCCAGGCTGACGTGGGGCGAGTTGGCAGTAGGGGGCGGTTGCCTGAGTGTCCCAGAGGTGGCCCTCGGTTGTGGGAAGAAGATACTCTGATGGAGAAGGGGGTGGGGGTGAGACTGGCTGGGAGGATTGTGGGGCCGGGAGCCTGGTGGTTGCGGTGGTAGGTGGGCAACGGGCTGGAGCCCGGCTGGGGGCTTGGCCCGGAGCTGGAGAGGGGGAGCTAGCTCCCGCAGAGTTCTGACAAGAGGGGGGTGTGGTCGCTGGTTGGGGGCGTGGCCTGTAGAAGGCCAAAGACCAACGCGTGAAGGGGGCGGGTGGGGGGGGTGGGGAGGGAGAAGCCGAGCCAGGGGCGTGGCCCGCGGCTGGGGGCCGGGTCGGGGCGTGGCTGCGGAGGGGAGCCCGGCAGCTGCAGCGCGGGCGAACCCTCGGCGCAGCGCTTTCTCCAGCACACGCAGTCCGCCTAGAGACCTGTTCGAGTGCCGAGGCTACTCCGAGAGCCCAGCGTGCTCGGAGCCCGCGGGACCTGGAGCCTGCGGGACCCGGATCAGCCCTGCGTCGAAGGGGCGTCTTGCATCCGTTGACTTTGGAGGCCTCGCCGAGTGGGGGCCACGCGAGGTGAGGCTGCGATAGGGGAGCGTGGTTCGGGGCTGTTAGCTGGGAAATCGGGAGAAGGATTAGCTCCGCACGCACGGTCGCGTTCCTTCGGTGTCTGTAGCCTGAGGACTCCCTGCCGCAGCCTCCTGTCGGATTCCGGGAGCCCCCGGCTGCCCACCTGTCGGTGCCCTGCGGTGGTTGCTCCGCGCCCTCGGCTGGCCGAGTGGCGTTGCCCGGGGGGGGGGTGGACGTGCAGGCGGCGTTCCTCAGCACGAAAGTCTAGAGAGGACCCTGAAACTTTATCCCGCGCTCCACTCACCGGCCCAGGCCTTCAGGTTGGCGCGGGGAGCGGAACCCAGGCGGCTGGGGTTCCTTGGGCCGCTCAGCTCCCTCCCGCGGGACGACCTGCAGGACCTGCACCGGCCCCGGAGACAGGCAGGGCTGCGGTTGGAGGAGTTAGTCAAATTTCCCACGTCAAATTTCGCTCTAGATCCCACCTGGGGAGAAAGACAGTGGGACCCGGCATCCGTCGTTTCTGAGTTAGTTTGGTTACATTTTTCCTCACGACATGGAGAAATTGCCACACCAGCCCCAAGGAGAGAAGCCAGCGCTGCTGTCCACGTCAGGAGAAACTTAGGTGATCGCTGCTGGCGGGCCACCCATCTGTGCAGTTACAGAGCCTGAGCAAATTTCCCTTTCCTTTAAGTACGAAAACCAAACCAAAGCAAAAGTGTTGGGGGAAGGGGGGACACTATTTTCGTCAGATGCTTTCTTCCCAGCCTTGGATAATAATGTTGAAAAATAGAAGAATAATTTCAATTATTCAGCACTTGTTACCCAGGCTATCCAAATTCATATATCTATCACCCACACCCTCCTTCTAAGATTTTCTGCGAGCACCACCTCATTTTCTGTTGATTGGTGTTTTCTTCCCTATTTACCAATCAGGTCTATCGGTTCTTAGCTCTCCTTTGCTAACAGGCACAGGCATTTCACTCTTATTTTTCCACCTTTACTAACACCTTTTCTCTTGACGTCTGCCCTCCCCCATCTTCCAAAGTTCTCCCGGTGCCTGTGAAATTATTCGCCCCTCCACATGCTGCTGAACCTTGTTATCTGCACCACCCCACCCCCCATCCTTTAGAGTTTCATGTGGCTATTTCTTATTCCAATTTTCCAGTATTCAATTTTCACCTACCTCCTTTGGCCCCTAAATGTGCCATTCTTCCTTCCATGCGATTTGACTCTCCTTTTTCTTTTGTGCTCGTGTGCTTGTGAGCGTGTCTTCATTCTTGCCTGTTTCTCCCCCAGGGCACTTTCTGGCCTTTTACCTACTTCTCCCAGCAACAACAGCCTGGGCACCTCCACACCACACCTGTTTCAGTTCCTTTGGCTGTGATTTTTCCTACTCCATCATCATTCCAAGCTCTTTTCCCTCTTTCCCAGTCAGTTCTCCCTGACCTTGCAGTCATCTTTGCTTCAAAATGTCTTGAGTGTCAGGAGGCAGAGGCAGCAAGCACCTGCTTTTCCGCAGGAGTGCTCTGCATCAGGATCTTTCCATCTGTTCCTGTTTGTTTCCTTACCAAAATAGCATCATATGCATAGTTCTTGCATAAAGTTCGTATGGATGTTAATATCAATGTTGGGTAGCATTTATCCAACACACAGTATGTGCCCAACATTTTCCTGAGGGCTTTATGTACAATAATAATGCATCAGTTCTCACATCCCTGTAATGCAGATACTATTACTGTCCCCATTTAACAGATGAGAAAAAGCTCAGATTGGTTAGGTGATTGGCCCAGTTTCTCATGTCTGTGTGTGTAGTGGTGGAGCCCCTCTTCACACCAGGTGACTGAGCTTCTGTGCCAGAGGACCTTTTACACTCAGACATGGGCTGGGATCCAGCTTTGGAAATGAGGTCATTATTTGCAGGTTTTATTTAGTCTGGAATTTACACCAGTTGAAGACAAAAGAACTACAACTGTAGAATGGTGTATGGGGAAAACCTAATGCCTACTGTCTCTCTGAAAGCCTGGGGACCCTGCCTGGGCTGACTGTGAGTTCCAGGTCACTTCAGCCTTCTTTCTTGAGGATAATGCTCTGGTGCTCTCAGCCCCAGGGGCCCAGAAGAAAGTGTCCTGAAAGACCCTTGTCAACTGTCTGCTCCTGTGCATTGAGAGTTCAGTTTCAATTTAGCTGGCCAGGACTTTAGGGTCCCTCGTAGCCCTGTGATTTTATGTGTCTTGTTTATTACTATTTCATTATGTAATCTTAAAGTCTTCTTCAAATATTTCTTGTTAGTGTTCACCTTCCTGAAAGCAAGTATTTCCACTTTTGCCAATACTAAAGCAGAGTGTTGGTCAAATTTTATACTTTACTAGCTGGAAGGGGCCTCACATCCCACAAATGAGAAAACTGTGGCCCCAAGAAATCGAATGACAAATCTCAGGGAAAAGCAGGACAGTAGACCTGTCCTGAGATCGCAGGTCTTCTGAGCCCTGGTCCAGGGCCCTACAGCTGGGTGGGTCGACTTCTCTGCCTGCTGCTAGAAACAGTGAACCTTCTCTCCCCTTCCTTTCCTGAGCTGAGAGGCACTGGAAGGATTCATTGAGAATGGAAGCTGTGAGTGGTTTTCCTTTTTGTGTGTGTGAAAGCTATACATTGACAAAATGTTTGCTTTTGAGACATGTAGTGGCATAAATGAGACTATAAAATTGCAGATGTAGAAATCAAGTGTTTTAGAAAGAAATATTTTCGTTATTTCCAAAATACCAGGAAAGAACACCAAATGTACATTGCTTTCTAGAGGTAGATCATATAATACTGGTAGTTTGAAAATTAGTAACTGGAATACTTAATGGTATTTTCCATTTGTGGAGGAAAGTGCATTAGTACAATGTGATTACATGATTTTCTTCATCTCTCCATCTCAAATGGAAGAGCAGTGTCAGGGAGAGTATGTCAGGTTAGTGGCTGAGGCTGTGTTGGCTCTACTGTGCCCACCCCCCTCTCCTCTGGGATGAAGACTCCACCCATGCCCTCCTGATTCCCAGCTGTGCTCCTGCCCGTCTATTTAATCCCTTTCTAGAACCCTCAGGGAACCCGGAGGGTATTGTTTACTCATGATGCTCATCTCATTCCACATCAGTCTTTCTTGACAGAATTAAACCCCAATGCCCTAAGGTGTACATTGTGTGTCATTAACTTTACTCTCATGCCTCTGGGCTGGGAGAGATTATGTGCCATCCTTGGGAGAATTGAGGAAACATTTGCTCAAGTCATTGTCTACTCTGTGGTTCAGATGAAGATCATTTTACAGATGGTAAATTAGGTTCTCCTGCTCCCCTTTCACAGTTGAGAAATGGAGGTTCAGGGACATTGTTGTGGCCAGAGCATCTCAGTAAGTGGGAAGACAGATTTGAACACAGGGCTGCCTGGCTTAGGAGATTCAAGCACTTCCATTGTCTGTCCCCTCCATGGCTTGTCACTCCTTCAGGTAGCAGTGTTCCCACAGAGCCTTTTGCAAACTAGATAATTCCTGCTTGCTGAACTGAAGGTGGGACATGAGAGCAGGGGCCTGGATACTGCGAGCATAAGGGCCTCGTGGGAGTTCCAGGGGCAGTCCTCCTCCTTCCTCATTTCTGGTGCAGGTGCCCCTCTCTGAATGTGCCTGGGAGAACACTGGGGAGCTGTGGCAATGCCAGGAACAGAAAGGGAATGGTATATATTTCTGCTACTTGATTGTAGCTATTTGCTGTGCTTGGGGTCCAACACTTTTGGACCCAGGTAATGACCCATCCTGTGGTCACAATGTTCAAATGTCTTGGACATAGGACTGCTACCTCATCTAACCAGGACCTGAAAGGACCTGATGTTGGTCTGAAAGAACGTCTGACCATTTTTCCTGTGGCAGGACCACTCTGTGTCATTGTGGAAGAGATGAAAGCTCACCTTTGTAATTTCAGGGACCATGTGCCTGACTCAAAATATCTTCCCTTTTCTCAAGAACTGGACCAGAAATTCCTTCTCACTCCCATTATCTTCAGTTTGGTTTCAGCCATGGAACTGGGGACCTTTAAAAGTACTCTGCACAGCTAACCTGGGAGAGGGAGGGGCTGGCCTGCCCCCCAGCCCCCATTAACATTGAGGCAGAGTTTGTTTTCTAGCACTGACAGGCTGTCTCTGGAGAAAAATAGAACACAGGTCTGGAATGGCCAGACTGAAACGTGTCACAGAGGGCACAGACTGTCGAAAACTGGGATCTTCACTCACCATCTAGGGCAGGTGCAAGGGGAAGACGAGTCCAGCATTTTATTATCTTACGGCAGAGGGGCAAAAGGCCAGAAATGAGATGTGTTCCTGGTATAGGAACTTTCACGACAGTCTTTCATAAAAATTATTGTTCTCTGTAACTATCAGGCTTCTACTTCAATGTTAAAACCACAATTGGGTCACATTAAGCAAGTTTCTGAGGTCAGGCCTTAGTACTTACTCATACCACCTATGACATAAATGCATTCCCAGTCCTCACAACTTACATACTTTGAAACACATCCCATTTATATATTGGGACTCTATGGCTGAAAGAGAAACAGCTCTGTTTCAGAAAGCAGCTCCATTTCTACTCTTCCTGGTTGGATAGAGTGCTTATATGTACACACTTACTGTGTGCCTTTTGCGTGCCTGGCCTCATGCTAGATGCCAAAGATAGAAAGTAAACAGAGACAGCGCCTGTCCTCAAGAAGAGGTCACATTCTGGTGGGAGAAATGCACAGCAGGTGTATGGGCAGGGTGTTAGGGGAGCATATCAGAGACCTAGGATCCAGGAAGGCTCCCTGGAGGAGGAGCTAACTATAGCCTGGGCTGAATAGTAACAGGAGTGAGCAAGTTGGGGCAGGAGCTGACAGAGGGAGGTATTTCACCCTCTGGGAACACAATAAGCAGAGGTGCAGAGACTTGGTGACCAGGGACCCTCACACAGCTATGTGTGTGGCTGTAGCTCCCAGCTCATCCTGCAT